TAAACAATTTCAGCTTTTTGTCTTTTTAAAGTTAACCAATCTTTTTGCTTCTTAATTATGTCTAATGATGCCTTTTGAAGTTTTTTATTTTTTTAAATATTATAAATGCAAGGCTCATCTACTCTAGAAAACATCACATGAAGCAGGAGTGAAGGTTTAGCAACTGAGAAATGAAGAGATTTTTATTTATTGTTTTAATTGTTTTTGAGGGAAGTCACTAGTTAATAAAAATAAAGATTCTTGACCACCATCTCTTTAAAGGACAAAAAGCAACATATATTCTGAAACCCCTCACATTAAATCATTCTTCTAGTAATACTAAGACACTCACCACTCCTAACATTTTGCTAGTAAAAATAAATAAATAAAACCTTTCAGCCGTTTTCTAATTCATGAGGAAATCAACCCCCACCCCTTTTTAAAGACATACAGCTTCTCTTTAAATATTTACCTTCACATCTTTGAGGTTCAACTCAGTTAAAAAAAAAAATGTAATGCTAGTATTTTGTTTACCCCATATGTCTATCTTTAAGAACTACATCATATATAGAATGGTGCTCTCTACTCTAAGTGCTGCATCCTGCTCTAGCAGGGAAGAGACTTAAAACATTCACGTCCAAACTTCTGCTCAAAATGGTAAGGATGACAAGGCTCAGGAATGGTGTGAAATTATGAACTTCTCTGTCCATTTTCACAGTGTGCTTAACTTACTAACAAAGTACCATATATACCTGAATCCAAGACTACTTCAAATTTAAGATAACCCTCCAAAAATTAGATTTTATACACGGAAAATTATACATTTTTCACAATCTTTCATGTATATGATCTTACTATTGGAAGGTCATCTTACATTCATCCCCACAGAGCAGCAACAGGAGGCAAGGGACCAGATGCCTGTCCCTTGCATCCCTCCCCCTGCCGCTTGTAGCCCCCAGGTATCTGCCCTCTTGCCATCTGCCCCTGCCACATGCACTCTTGTGCCTGCCCTCCAGTGCTACCTACCGTTTCTCCTGCACCACCCCCTGACACTTACCTTTCAGGCAGCAACTGTGGCCCTGGGGGCTGGCAACAGCAGCAGGTCCAGTCTAACCTAGCCACAGCAAGTCTGTGTTGGTGCTGGGCCACGGCTGAAGATAAGCAGCTGCAGGGGCAGGACTGTGCCCACCCCCCCCACCAGCAACACATAACAAACTTCCCCCAAGGCCTCCCCCACTGCACACTCTCCCCTGAACTCACCATCCCCTGCAACATGAGCTACCCCAGCCCAAGTCAGGTGGCAGCTCATCTCCAGCTTTGGTCCCAAACCTGAAGCAAGCCAAAGCCAAAAGTAAGCTCCTGCCTGCCCAAAGCCAGTACAGGCAACCCCTGCTTAGTGCTCTAAACTGTTCCTGAAAAACCAAGCATTAACTGGAACAGCATTAAGCAAAACATGCTGCCAGCTGTACAATGCCGGTGAGCATTATAACAAAACTCACCAAGTGCTAAGTGGAATCAGGTGTCAATGTAAAACCAGCACTATGGCAAAATAGCGCCAAGTAAAACAGTGCATGTGTGGGGGGGTATCCTGTACTTGAATCTAAGACGAAGCTTTTTTCCTCTCATGCTGACTAGGGAGAAAAACCCTTGTCTTGGATTCAAGTAAATACAGTAGTACTATTCCATTACTGTACAGCCAAGCCAGCTAGGGACCTAGGGACTTCTTGTTCTTGTCACACAAGTTACCACATTTTAAAGGCCTTATATGCAAATGAAGTCATGAAACGTGCGTCAGAAAACACATGGACTGACCTTCCCATTCTAGCGTAAGTTTGCAAGATCAGCAGTTAGAAAAAGCCATTTTTCATTTCTGAGCAATAAGTCATTGAGACTCAAACATGGAAGGCCAGGTCATCATCTCCGAGGCCTTAATAAAATGACATACTTCAGCACGTAAATAGTCCTATAAGGGTGAGCAGGACTTTCAAAATTAAGCATGTACTCAAATGCTCTTTTGAATTGAAACTGTGGTTATCAGAAACTTAATCATACTTTACACTGGAATGGCCCAATTTTTTTTTAACCACAAAGATTCACAGATTTCATAGACATTAGGGCTGGAAGGGACCTCAGGAGATCATCCAGTCCAGCCCCCTGCCCCAACAGCATGAAGTCAGCTAGGGAAAGAACTTGTAGCTTGCTGAACAAAGCCACATTTTAAAAATAAAGTCTGTTACCTAAACCACAAAACTGTTAAAACTGCAACAACAAAAAAATAAAATAAAACAAACAAACAAACAAAAAAATCAAGATTTACTTTTCACTCCATTTGCAAACTTCAGACATTTTTCCATAACACTGAACACGTATTAAATCTCAGCTTTACTGTGATATTAAGATTTTGTTTAATTTCACTTTCAGGTATTCTTTCATTAATAAGAACACAAACATTATTACATCACTGGAAATGAAAAAGAGTTTTAAATCATTTAAATATGAGTTAAATAATATCTTGCATCTTGTTTCCATCTTTGAAGGAAATGTTTCCATTTGATATTTGGTCAAATTTGTCCCCAAGTTTATTTTAAAACCTTGTTTTGACAAAATCCTCTCCTACTAAAATAATTAAAGAGCACTTATGTTGTTTTTAACCTATGTATTTCAACAACTTCTTAAAATAGTTACTGTACCCCCCAAAAATCCAAAAAAAGTAAAAACATCCTTTTTTTTTTAAACACCTGAGAAAAGACTAACACCCATCACTGAATTCTGATACACCAACATACTATGAAAACAAAATATGAATAAGCTAATGAAATCATAAATGTTTATGTAATTCCCTCTTATTAATAGGACAATGTTACCTTGAGACACAAAAAAGACAAAAAGACAAGACCTCCCCGATGGGACATGCATTGTCAAGATATGAAATACAACACCACTTGTTGGATTGCATTTTAGGTACTTTCATCCTATCGCAAATATTTTCAGAGCTTCAACAGGCTTTCAAGCAGTATACTCCATGTAAAGTCATTATCCATTACCCTCTCCTATCTTTATGGCGATGGGAATTTTTTTTTGAAGGGTCATGGCAAATTTGACAGATGTAAGATTTTTTGCCACCAAGATTAATATAACTGAAAGATATTAAAGGGGGGGGGGAAAAAAAAAAAAAAAAAAA